GTGGGACAAATTCTGCTGAAAACCAAAAGGCAGGGCGGTGCCTTGGTAAAGTGGTTGGTCACTCCAGTACCATTCATTAAGAAGGAATCATGAGCCTAACTCAGTTGGTTAGATTCCCTGTGGTAGAATCTGTCTACCTAGATTCAAGTTCTCGACTTGGCATGGGTGCTCGTATTTTCCTGGATTTATTCCAGGATTTAACGGCGTTGTGCTTTCAGTGGTAGGCGATGTTACCGTCGACAGCGAGGTGCCTGTGGTGACTTCGTCAATTTTGAGATGTGGCCGGCTGAGTCTTTTGGAGGTGCTCATAGGGGTGGGTTTACGTACGTGTATTCATATGGGTGAGTGTGCGTACGTGTTGAGCGTCTGCATCAGTACTTGTGTAATTCGCAAAAAAAAAAAAAGAATAGCCAGGCCGGCAGGAGTAGCATTTCTTTTCATTAATAAGAAGAAACATACTCCGTAGTAAATACAAACTTAATGTAATACTTTCATTACAAGAATTCTTAGAAAACTATCTAAATACAAAGATCACCTCTAACAATCGATGGCATGACAAAATTTCAGGAAACATAAAGCAAGGTTGCTTAGCATTTTCACTAATTATTTTGGTGGTTGAAGTGTGTACGAGGTCCATGAATACGAACTGGGAGCCATCCTTGTACGTAAATTGCTTGGTCTCCTTTGAAAGGGACGGTTCCTGTTGCTGAAAGTGTTAATGGAGAAGTGATCATTAGTTGCTTCATTCATAGCATATGTAGCTACGGAGACTAATAAAAAGCAAAAGATTGGTTGACTAAGCTACATCGCGCCACAGCGGCCTCATCCGGCGTCGGGGCTCGACATCTTCCTTGTGCACCCCTCCGCGCTCAGCCCGTCGTCCTTTCTGTCCCCCCTCGCCTCCCCTTCCACCCTGGGGACGGATCGATGGGGCGTCCCAAGGCTCGTCGTTGGGCGGATGAGGACCTTGACGACTCTGACGCGGAGAGGTCGCCGGTCACCTCCCCAACCTCCTACCTCGACGCAGTCCACCAGGGGTCGTAGCTCCGGACGTCGCCTTTGTTGGAGCATGCCAAGCCGCGCCTCACTCGTGGCAACGCTGCTGCTGAGCGGGGCAAGCGCTCCCTGAGGGGGCCCGACCAGCCAACGTCGCAGGAGGTGCGCACAACAGTGCTGTTGGTGCTGGCGTTGAGCACGGGCGGCGCAAACCGCAGGACTCGTCGGCCACGGCCGCGCCCCCAGCTGGTGCACAGCCTGCCTGCTCGGCCCGTGGATGGCCGTGTCCCCGCCCGACAGTGCCTCGGACGTCGCGGATGAGGCTTCGCCCGCCAGCGCATCTCCGCTCAAGATGCCGACGGCTGGCGAGAGGTCTTGTCGCAGGGGTCGTTAAGCGGTGCCGGAGGGGCATGCCCCGCCCGCACTGCATCGGCGAACCAGCGGCCCCCTACCCGCTATCCGGCAGATCTAAGCGGGAAGTGCTTCGACTGTCTCTCCACCGCGCACAGGGTGGCAACCTGCAAGCTGCCTCCACGCTGCCTCTGATGCAAGGGGTTCCGACACCTCGCGCGGGACTGTAAGCAGCGGCGGAAGGTGCCTCCTTCCGGCTCCAGCACAGTTGGTGCCCCAGAAGGCCGGCAACGACGCCCTGTCTGGGAGCGTATCTTGGGCAACCGGCCGCGTACTCAGGGCGACACGTCGAGTGCGGCTGGGGCTGTGCCGGGTGCAGCAGCTGCTGTGCCAGGTTGAAAGCTCTAATTTAGTTTTGGTGAATTGATGAACCCTAAATGTTAACCTAGTTTATCAAAGTGATTATGAGATAGGTGGTACGACTCTAAGTGGTAAAGCAAATGAAGATCATGACATGATGATGGTGTTGCCATGATGATGATCAAGTGCTTGGACATGGAAAAGAAGTAAAAGAAAAACAAAAGGCTCAAAGCAAAGATATAAGTGGTATGAGCCTTTTCGTTTCAGTGATCAAGACATTTAGTGGGTGTGATCACATTTAGGTTCGATAGCCGTACTATTAAGGGGGTAAAACTCGTATCGAAATGCGGTTATCAAAGTGCCACTAGATGCTCTAACTCATTACATTTGCATTTAGGATCTAGTGGAGTGCTAACACCCTTGAAAATGTTTGTGAAAATATGCTAACACATGTGCACAAGGTGATACACTTGGTGGTTGACACATTTGAGCAAGGGTGAAGAAGATAGAGTTGAAAAGGAGTTAGTCGCGCTGGTCACAGAGTGATGGGACACGTCCGGTATGGATACCGGACACGTTCGGTCAAAGTGATGTGGCTCGGTACTAAATTGCAGAGAGCGACCGGACGCGTCCGGTCGCCACACCGAACGAGTTCGGTGTGAATTAGCGAGTCTCGGGTTTCAGCGCTAAAATTGATCGGACTCTGGGAGCGTCCGGTCCAGTGTGATCGGACGCGTCCGGTCGGCCCAGAGCGGCTCTGGGAGCTCTCTGGACTCAACCAGACGCTACGTCTCCTACGTCCGGTCTGGAGTGACCGGACGCGTCCGGTCAACCCTGGGAGCTCTCTGGACACGACCGGACGCTGCGACTCCACGTTCGGTCATTTCTAACAGCGCGTCCGGTCGCATGGGACTCGTGGCAGTAACGGCTACTTCATTTAAAATGAGACACGTGGCGGTCAGGTAACGACCGGACGCATCCAGTCGCCATATCGGACGCGTCCGGCATACATGGCCGGTGCGTCCGGTATACATGGTTGGTGCGTCCGGTGCACACGACCTGCGCGTCCGGTCGACGCGCAGTCAGCCCAATAATTGAGACAACGGCTCTATTGTTTGGGGGGTGTCTATAAATACCGTTTGGCCGGCTCTAGCTCACTATCTTGGCCATTTGCATTGACATAGCAACCTTGTGAGCTTAGCCAAAGCCCTCCCACTCATCTCCATCATTGATTCAACATCTTTGTGAGATTGGGAGTGAATCCAAGTGCATTGCTTGAGTGTTTGTATCTAGAGTCACTTGGTGTTCGTGTTTTGCTGCGGGATTCGCTTGTTACTCTTGGTGGTTGCCGCCACCCAGATGGCTTGGAGCAGCGAGGATCATCGAGTGGAGGTTGGTGATTGTCTTCTGCTCCGATCGTGGTGATTGTGAGGGGTTCTTGACCTTTTCTTGGCGGAGAGCCAAAAGGTACTCTAGTAAATTGCTCGTGGCTTATGTGATCCTCATCTTGTGTTGGTTGTGCGGCACCCTATTGTGGGTTTGGCGGGTGATGCCAATCAGCTCGTGAACCTCCAAGTGAGTGAATCGCCACAACGAGGACTTGCTTGCCGGCAAGCAAGTGAACCTCGGTAAAAATCATTGTATCATTATTTGATTCCGAGGTGATTGGTCTTCATTAATATTGATTCTTGTGATTGATTGGTTTATTCCTCGACTTGGCGGTATAACCATCTTGCTCTCTCTCTCTATATTACCGCAAACTAGTTATCAAGGTCTTTAGTGTAGCTAGTTGTGAGAGCTTGTTAGTTTGGCTCTTTAGTTAGCCTTTGGGAGCACACTAACTTAGTGTAGTGACATAGCCATTGTGTGGTTAGAAACTATAGAAACTAGAATTGTGGTAGGTGGCTTGTATTTTTTTTGTAGGCTAGCGCAACACTTGCTTCGTCTCATAATTGTCTAATCGGTTTGTTAAGTGTTGTTGTAGAAATTTTTAATAGGCTATTCACCCCCTCTAGCCATTAGGACCTTTCATAGGTGCGACCACGCGCGGCAGCGGTAGGCGCAGACGGCGGAGGCGTCGGAGACGTCGGCGCCGACTGAAGGGGGACGACACCGCTGCGGCAACGAGTGTCGCCACCGACAGTCACGGGCGATCGACAGGGGCCGCCCAAACGGCATCGGACTTCACCTCGGTCGCTGCTAGAACTGAGGCAAGGCACGGTGGGCCGACCAACGCGACGGGCATGGTTGAACCCGACCCGTTGACGCTCACGTTGTACCCGGGCGCCACGCAGGATTGCGGCATCTCAGAAGACCCAATGGGGAGTTCGCAGCCTCGCTCGTCGGTAGTCAGATCGTTGCGTAGCCTTCCCTTGAGCACCTCCCGTCAACTTCGGCGACCCCCCAACTTCCGGATGAGGCACCGGCGGTGGCGGCCCCCCAGCTGGAGGATGCGGTAGCCTCCTATGTGCTGCGGACACCACCCCCACGCCCTATTCAGTGGGCAGTGGACTCGCCGAAGACACATGTGGTCGACCTCACGGTGGATGGCCCTTCCAGTTCACCACCAGGGATCATCCACCAGGCTGTGGACAACGACGACTCCTCCAAACGACGCCTCGACAGCTTCATCAACAATGTCATGCGTAAGAGGGACTCTCTGCTGATTCGCGAGCCTCCCAAGCAGCCTCCTGCTAAGCCGGTACTGTCGTGGCGGAGCAGGCAGTTGGTGGCTCAGAGCCTCTCCAGAGTGCCAGCTTCCAAACGAGGTGAGGTGTTGATCATGCAGCGTATAGGCTACACCAGGGGTCCATCTGCGCCATCCACTTCGGAGTTGAAGGCCTTTGACAGGCTCTTCGACGGCAACCTGACAAGCAGAAGCGCTGAACGAGCTCTTCCTGGCCGTTGGAAAGACACCGTTCAGGCAGCCGCGAAGACGCAAGGCCACCTAGACCACAAAGCTGCGTCGATATTGGTTGTTTCCTTTTATGTAATATCGAAACATGAGATCTTTTGCTCGGATGGTCCAGCTTCGGCTATGTTAGGTCGATCTCCTTCGGCGCGGCGCTCGATAGAAGCATATTGTATGTTTCTTTAAACTCTTCTCCTTAATATAATAATACGCAAATTTTTTGATATGCGAGAGAAAAAGCTACATCGCGTGCTAGCAGTTTTTTTGAAGAAGATAAAATACAGAGTAGGAAAAGAAAAAGAGGTGCTAAATTCTTGTCAGATTCAGAAGATGTGGGTTTGAGGCGAGATTACCGTACTTCCAGCTCGAAAGGTTTTCTCAACTAGTCAACTGTGTTGCCGGTGACATAGTTGCGCATTTTCGTCCTGACAAAGGCAGCACCTTTTCCAGGCTTGACGTGGAGAAACTCTGTTGTTGGAAGGAGACGAGAGAAATTGGCTGGCATGTTTTGCATAACAATGACATACGTTTTGCGCAGTGCCTTAGGCTATACATTTTTTGGACACACAGAGGTAGCATCCTTTTTCATTCCAACAAAGACTAGAGGTACATGGACTTGATAAGCAGTTTCCACAAATTTCTGCTGAGAAGTGAGATGTCGGTGACCTAGAACTTTCCATGGCGCGCCGCCGACCTCGACGTTGGTGCCGACCCTGATGTCGTTGCTGGAGAGCGCGTTGACCCCTGCAAGCATGCGCGTTGACCTCTGTGCTTCTGCAAACCGATTGAACAACACAAATTAATGTCTGAATGCGAGATACAAGGCAATGGCATGGTTACAAATCTTTAACAGAACTGTGTCTACCTTGTGAAGTATTCTGAAACTTTGGTCTTGCCTTTCCCGAAGAAGCATCCATTCTAAGGCCAAGTCATACTCGATCGTGTTGGGCTGGGAACAATGTGAGGTTGCTACGGCCTTCTTCTGCAAAAGAAAAGGAAGTTGTGTAAAATATCAAGCCAAAGACACGCAGAACATCGCAGAGCTTATAAACATTAAGCGCCCACCTGCTCGTCACGCTGCTTTTGACCAATTTTGACATGTGAGGAGAGGTGCCCAATAAGATTCACTGAAGGTTTTGGAACCTCAAGTAACCCTTTGCTGCAGTAAAGAGGTCTGCAAGTTATACATTAGGCAAGAATTATCAGTAGCCAACCAAGAAAATCATGCCAGACAAACTTTGTTCTAATTCATAAATTCCAACAGTTGCTTGTGTTAGAAAGGGGTCTCAAGGAAAATGTTGCTTGTGTTAGAAAAGAGATTGAAGAATCAATGTATCAGAGCATCACCTAAGAAGACTCTTTGTTCTAATTCATAAATTCCAACAGTTGATTTGCCAGGAGAGTTCAAGAATTGACAAAACAAACAGAACACCACTTGAAGAAAAAATCGTTACAGAATAAGATACAAGGTAGATTACATTAACTACAAACACATACCTTCCACCAACAACCAAGCCAGAATTGATTTTTAAAATGGCAGCATCAGCAGCATCTTTAGTTTTGAATATGGCATATGCTTTGCCTACAGATAAGAAAACCACTTGTAGTAAAATTGCAAGAAGAAAAATACCATTCTCCCATCAACTGGACATAGGTAACTATTTATGGAAAATCTTTAAGGAATAGTTTATGCATCTGTCAACAGGTTACTGGGCCAACTATCAGACAAGACTTTGGACGCTAGGATAAAGATCCAGATGTCCACTCCCTTCCCCCTTCACTACATCAACTAGATAATACCAGGTCATTTTACACAGCATTGCCACCCCGACCTTGTGATCACCATCCCTGGTACCAGAATGGCTTGCCAGTGAACACCTCCACAACTGGCCATCGTCCCTCCCTCCTTTCGTATTGTTACGCATCTCCTGCCTGCATCGGCCTCCTCTCTATCTACAGTGAGATGGCCCTGCCCCACCCTCACCAGACCAGATCCATGCTCGCCGCCCACTGCCTTGCTAACCACCACTTTGATGGTACGCCATCACAGCATACAGCCCCGCCCAATCGGTGGTCTTCCACCATTGCCGCTGGGCTAGTCACCTTTCCCCACCTACCCCCCCTCCCCCCACAGAAAAAAGCACGGTCCCCACCCTCACTGTATCTCATTCAACAGATATATAGCATTTTTTCCTTTAATTAGTGAACAACTCACCATTGTTTGGATCATCATAAGTGGGGTGGTTAATGGGCTTCGCAGTGCAACTTAGCTGTAATGCTTTACGAACCAGCTCCTGCAAACATGGTAATAACAAAGCCCAAAACAAACAGAGTAAGAACATTGAGATTAAAAGGAATGAATGTACTGTTGAAAGAGAAACTGTATGAGACAATCATAAGTTACGTGGGCAGAAGTAGAATTGCAACCGAACAGACAGCAATAGATGTTAACATATACTTGAAAAATACTAGGCCAGGGATACAAAGGAGTAGCTTGGGCTTTATGACAACCAAAAAGACAGGATGCTACTTGCTACCTCTATGTCAGCAGGTCCAAACCGAATATCAAGATTTTGAATATAGACAAGAGTCCCCTTATCATCAGCCATCTTTAGTCTGTCATCCCATTCCTGAAATTCCATAAAAAAGATCATCATAAAAAATCCAAGGCCAAACAAGATATTAATCAGTTTGTGGTAATTTTGAGTAATAATGATTAATGAATAATCAAGCATGGGTATGGCATGCTTCAATACAACAACAAATGCACAAGAGACCATAGCAAGGAAAGGTCACTCACAATTTTAAACCATTTGCTTCTGTCCTGTTAAATGGAATAAATAATGTGTTAGCAAAAAGGAAACATGGAAAATCAGTAGAAGACTCTGTAAATAGCAATTCAAAAATATATAGCAAAAGCAGAAAGAATGTTCAGATAAATGATCCATGAACAGGAAGAATATTGCTTGTGTGCAGTAGGTATGGGATAAGACTTCACCCAGGTTGGCAGTTCAAAGTTCATAAAGATTACGGCCGTTAGCAAATAATGAATCAACAGAAAGCAGCACAAGATGACCATATGACCTACTGAACTTGTGCTGTGCTCATTAACTGCATTGTTATGTCTCATTCCACCTCTCAGACCAATAAATAGAGAGACATGGTATGGAAAAGTGTAAGCATGTACAAAACTTGGTATGGGGCAATTTAGAAAGATGCAGTTATGTCTCCTCTCCAAAGGCTGTAACATTGAGTACAAAAGGAGCACACTTGCATTCCTGTAATGAAACGTAAGAGCAGAAGTAGCATGTTGGATATAGGAAAAGTAAGTCCAGAGAATTTACGATATTCTTTGGCGGTAGCTCCAAAGGTCTTTGTTCAGCAGTCTCTGGGGCTATGTCCTGCTCTGTAGTTACTTGGGATAATTTCAACTTTTTTGGTGGCCTCTCCCCAGTGTGAGCATCCTGTAACTGTGTATGTTTGGGAATGTTCTCCATAACTGCAGACCGTGGAGGGGCAATCGAAGCAACTGGTTTCTCATCCTCCTTGACTGCTGAACGGGAAAGGGGAATGGCAGCAACTGATTTCTTATCCTCTTTCTTGACCACAGGCTGGGAAAGGGGAATCGCAATGGTTGGTTTCTGTTCCTCCCTGACCTCTGATTGGGAAAGGGGAACTGTGGCAGGCGGATTTTCATCCACCTCCTTAAATGCTGGCTGCGGAAGGGGAAGTGCAGCAGCCTGACTTCCATCCTCCGTTTTAACTGCTGAAGGGGGTGCAGGTACTGCGGCAACCATACACTCATCCACATTTGGATTCAGCAGAACATTTGTACCAGGACTGGATATGACTAGCTCATCTTTTGGATTCAGCAGAACATCAACTGCACCAGAAGGACAATAGTTAGTATACAATTCAATTGAAAACATTACCAGATAAAATTGGAGGGCACAAATCAAGTATAGATCCTCTGCTGACCTTGCCATGTAGCAATTTTATCAGGCAATTGATCAGAAAGTGTTAAACTTTTAACATCAAAGAACCTATAGAAGATATAATCAGCAATGTCTAGTTCCTGAGGAGAAGGTTGACGATTCCTCTCGTCCTTTGAAATACATATAACAGTGCATTTTCCAGCAACAGCTTCCTAATTGAGAAATAAACATATAATCATTATAATATTTTAATAGGAACAGAAATCCAAAAATGGAAAGACGACAGATTTAACATTTACATATCTCATAAATAGCTCAGCAAATGTTAACTTTAACTGTTCACCTCCAACTAGAATGATTATATTATTGCTACGCAAACCAAGCTAGCTCTTCTCAGGCTTTAAAAAATGAGCAGGTGAAGTGTGACAAACCTTGGTGCCTCAATCAGGCTTGGCTGTTACCTACTTATTTTCAAAAATATAAAGTATTGCAATTGATCTATGCAAATTGTTCACACGTTTCTATTAATCAAATACGCACGAGAGCTGCACAAGAAGAACCCAGATATACAACACGCCTGGGAGTATTATGTCAGAATACACAAGTTTAAGGATGATGATAAAGAAAAACAAGACAGAACATGAGTGAAGTTATGAGAGACATACCAGTGGGTTGATATCTGCAAGCCCAGTACCTTCACCACAAGCAAGAAAAATCTCCTTTCCCATCACAGGGCCTCTTAAATAATTCTGAATCTCGTCAGGGTGGAAAAACCAAAGAATTTTTTTTACTTTTTAGCATTATTTTGCTCCCAAATCTTCACTATTTTTCCAATGTATGGTTCAGTTTCACCATGCTTAAATAGATAGACACAGTCATACAATGAATACTTCACATTGTCCAATGTGAAGGACCCATAGAACTGTATATCCATCTTGACACCACCTGTTGCTCGACGCTTGCCCCATGAGAATTGGATTGGCTCAGCATTCCCATCCATTCTTGTGCCGATAAGTGTTGGCTCACTCACTGCACAACATAAGCCTACAATCAGAAATCCACCAGACTAAACTACGAGGTAGATAAAACAATATCAGGGAAATTAAGTTGACTAATAAAAATGGTTGCAAAGCTCTAAACTAATTTGTGGAACCAATGATGCTGCCAGCCAACTATTCAAAAACTTTAACAGCCACAAGAACCAAAATTTTAAACTGTCAAAAATACATGTGAAACTTGAAGTAAAGTGTGTTCTCATTTTTTTTCCCAATACTTTTTTTTAAATTTGATGTGTTACCTAGAGTTTTCACGATGTCACCAACATATTCACTATGTTTCTGAAAGGCAATTGAGTAATATATTCACTATGCTTCTGAAAGGCAATTGAGTTGGCGGACACTTGTTCCAGTTGTGCAATTGATTGAAAGTTGAAACTGAAGACAATGTACATGTTGATGTCTAGCTTTTAACTATATTAGTAGAAATAACTCTTGTACCTTGAAATCAAAGATATGACCGCAAAACACCAAAACTTTAGAAAAATGGAAATGTATGCACTTTCCGTACTTAAGGACAGTTGCGCGACATTCTTTTGGTGTCAAAAAGACATGCTACATAAATAGAGTATCAAAAAGTCTGAAGATACTTCAATTTCCAAGATGCGAACATATGACCCGATACCCAAAATGACGATCCGATATTAACTGGCATCAAGCTTGAGAATCACAACTTGTCTGTTTTCCACTTCACTCGCATAAGGGGCTGACTGCAAAAGCTAGTGCAGAAGGGAGAATTCCTAAAACAACAAATCGATTTCGCGACACATCACAACCTACCTCACCGCCGTGGCCAATTAAGTTCCTAAATGCGCATACCATGAACAGACCAGACCAGTGCAGGCCAATGCTGGTTATGGATGTCATGAACATATATAGCAGAAGCAAAGGCCCCTCTCCTCAACAACGAAACCACTACAGAGAATTGGGGAGAGAACTCACAGTCCGTGTGTCCTATTCACTTTCAGAAGAAAAAACGACAAACCGCCGGACTCGCTACATCCTCTATCTAGCACGAATTCCACACGAGCACGACGAGCACGCAAGCAATCCCCAAAGGTCCATGGACGCCGAGCGTTCAGTCAGAGCCGCAGAAATGGCGGCGGCCACTGCTGAGCGAAGCAGCCCCGCGGCGCAGGCAACGGGGCCGCGCGCCATGCACGGATTAACGGATCCATTCATTTCCATCACGGCATCACCAGACGGAGGAGGGGTGGGCAACAGGGCAGGTACCTCGCGCTAGGAATCCTCGCACAGTCGGGGCCCCTTGTCGCCACCGGTGCGGCGGCGGGAGCACGTACGGGAGGGGAGGCCGCGGTCAGGGGAAGGGGGTGTGGTCGCCGACCTCGCGGAAAAAGGAAGCGAGGGTGCCCGGAGCGGCGTCGGCGGAGGGGATCGTCGGCCGGTGAGCCGCTGCCGGTGTCCGAACCCTACTCTCTCTCTCTCTCTCTCTCTCTCTCTCTCTCTCTGGAGACAGGCTCACACTCGCACACAGGCACAGCAGCCCAGTTCTGAGTTCTGGACCGCTTCTGCTGCGTCCATCCCATCCCATCCCACTCCCTCGGGAAGCCAGCCAAAAGGCGTTGGGAGCCGATTCCCTCGGAAGCGGACGCAGAAGCCGCCGCCACCGCCGCTTCTCTCTGGGCTTGCTCTGCCCTGCTCCTCAAACTCTGTTCCTGATTTCCGTTTCAACTTGTTTGGTACAGAGGATAGGATGTAGTTTGAATTTGAACTTTAGTTTTAGATTAAAAAAACAAGAGGGAGAACGAGAAAGACAAGGATAAACGGGCCTATGGGGCATGTCAGTTCGAATTTGAACCGCCGCTGTAAAAAATAAAATAAAAACCAGAGAAAACTTCCGCTGTATCCTCACAAACTGCCTAAGAGCATATCCAACCGATTAGCCAAAAGAAATATCTAAATTTAGTGATTTATATATTTTTTAAGAATGAATCTCTCCTTCAAAAAATAGACTACTCCAACAGACTATCTAAATTGAGACTCTCTATATTTAAACTTGCCACGTCACCGGATTTTTCCTCTTCCTATCCATCCTGATCCCGTCCGCTCTCTTTTCGGATCATCGCAGGCACCGCCTTGAACTCAAGTTCTGCAGCAGGGGCCGGCCGCTTGGAACTCCATCCCGATCCTGTCCGCGGGTTGCCGACTACCCAGGCATCATCAACGCTCACGTCCACCAGGCCACAAGGGGCAGAGTCACCCAACCATCAGGGCACGCACGGTCCGACCATTGCCGACCGCACATCTTGAAGGGCATCACGGCAGCCTGCTGGTGGCTGCCCTAGCCGTGTAGGAGGTTTGCTTAATTTGGCCATAATTTTGTAAATTGACATAGATAATTATCTCGGTTGATTAGAGAATTTGTCCTTCTACCCTACAGCTCAAGGTGTGTCGACGATGAATTCTGAAGATGAATTCTATGATACAGTGTTCAATGAAGTGCTTGAGTCATCATCTTCGGACGATGAGGATGATTTATATGTTGCTGCTGCACACATAGTAGCAGAGGCTAATGACAAGCAACCATATCGCCGAGGTTCTATTGACAGACATCGCGTATTGAATCGTGATAGGCAGTCCAGGCACTCCAGATTTTTTCAAGACTATTTCTCAGATAATCCTACGTATGGGGCGAACTATTTTAGGTGAAGGTTTGTACTTTCCCCTCATAGTATGAAATTTCTTTTGTACATACGTGCAGGTGTGGCTAATTAATTAGTTTTATGCCATAGATTTCGAATGAGGCGTCATGTGTTTGTTCGTATAATGAATGTTGTTGAGGAGCATAATGACTACTTTGTGCAAAAGAGGAATGCAGCCGGTACCCTAGGACTATCTTGTTTGCAAAAGCTGGTGGCAGCATTTCGTATGATAGCTTATGGTGTAGCGGCTGATGCTACGGATGACTATGTACGTATTGGCGAGAGTACCGCTCTAGAAAGTTTGAGAATGTTTGTCATAGCTGTTGTTCAAGTATTTGGACCTGAGTACATGAGATTCCCTAATGAACAGGATACGACTAGATTACTCGCAATTGGTGAGAGCAGAGGTTTCCCGGGAATGCTTGGTTCCATAGATTGCATGCATCGGACATGGAAAAATTGCCCTATTTCATGGCATGGTATGTACCGAGGGCATAAAAAGGAGCCTACAATTATACTAGAAGCAGTTGCCTCTAAAGATCTTTGGATTTGGCATGCATTCTTTGGGATGCCAGGCTGTAAGGTCGAGATGGCGGACTAGAGGGGGGGGTGAATAGTCCTTTCTAAAATTAATCGCGTTGGCTAACCGAAACAAGTGCGGAATTAAAACTATCGGTCTAGCCAAGACTACACCCCTCTATCTATGTTCTCTAGCACCTTCCAAAGATACTAACTAAGCAACAAAGGTGCCGGGCTCGCTAGAGCTCACCTAACTAATTCTAGAAGCAAGGTCACACAAATCTATGCCACTAGTACTTCAAGCAACAAGGGAGCTCCTACACAAGCTAGTAAGCAAAAGCGCAAAGTCACCTAAGCTCACTAGTAATGCTCAATAACAAGACAACCAATGCCAAATTAGAGAGTACAATTACTTAGCTACACAAACTAAGCAATGTGACTAACAAGGTTACACAAACCAAATTAGCCACGCAAGAGAGCTACTTCTATGCTACACAAGCAAGAAGGTAATTAGTAAGCTACACAAGCTAACTAATTACAAGAGCAACTGCACAAGCACAATGTATATGAAAGTAATTACAAGCTTGTGTAACGAGGATGCAAACCAACGGGAAAAACAAGGTTGACACGATGATTTTTCTCCCGAGATTCACGTGCTTGCCAACACGCTTGTCCCCGTTGTGTCGACCGTTCACTTGGTGGTTCGGCGGCTAATTGGCATCACCCGCCAAGCCCGCACGTCGGGCGCCACAAGAACCTACCCTGAAAGTGAGGGTAGCTCAATGACACGCTTTAATAGAGTTGCTCTTCGCGGCTCCCGCGGGGCGAGCACAATGCCCCTTACAAAGCTCTTCTCCGGAGCACCGCACAAGCTTCTTGCGGGCTTCGACGGAGACCACCACCAAGCTGTCTAGGAGGTGGCAACCTCCAAGAGTAACAAGCACCACCGGCTTGCAACTCGATCACCTAGTGCCACTCAATGCAACCTCACGATGCAATCGCACTAGAATTGCTCTCACACAATCGGATGATCGCTATCAAGTATGTGTGAGATGGAGGGCTCCCAAGCACTACTACACAAGCCACCAAGGCTCTAGTGTGCTCAGCTCTCGGCCAAAGGCCAACCACCACTTCTATTTATAGCCCCATGGGCTAAACTAGCCGTTACCCCTTCACTGGGTATTTTTTGGGTCGACCGGACGCTGCACCGGACGCACAGATCGTGAATACCGGACGTGTCCGGTCACTATACCGGACGTGTCCGGTAGCTGCCAGACCACCACGTGTCCCACTGTTGCCTCCAACGGCTCTTTGACATGTCCGACCGGATGCACAGTTCGAAACGACCGGACGCTCAGTACGAAATGACCGGACGCTGAGCCGCTGCGTCCGGTCGAGTCCAGTAAGCCTCCAGGGCCGACCGGACGCGTCTGTTAGAAACTGACCGGACGCTGAGCCTCAGTGTCCGGTCGAGTATAGTAAGCACCCCATGCTCGACCGGACGCGTCTGGTCACTCCGGACCGGACATTGCCAGCGTCCGATCAATTGTACTATGAGCACCGTCTTTGCTGATTCACACTGGACGCGTCCGGTCGCACTGTGCAGTTTAGTCCTGAGCCACATACCGGACGTGTCCGATCTCCATACCGGACGCGTCCGATCACTCTATGACCAGCACGACTAACTTGTTTTCATCACCAACTTCTTCTCCTTTGCAAATGTGCCAACACCACCAAGTGTACACCACCATGTCTATGTGTGT